TTTTTTTTTTTTTTGGTGCCCCCTCATATACCCAGCTGAGGTATTCCTGGATTGTATAGAATTTCTCAGCTCAATTGTTTGAGGTAGCGATAATGATGTTTTCCACAGTGGTTACACAAAATTTCATTTCCACCAGCTGTGGATGAGGGTTCAAATTCATAGCTTCTTTAGCATTTGGTATTTTCTTTTTAAAAAATTGAAATTGTGAATGTTAGGTGGTATCTCATCATTGCTTTTTTTGCATCTCGCATGGCTAGTGATTGTGAGCATTTCTTCAGATCTTTGTTGGTCATTTAGTTGCCATCTTTGGTGAACTGGTTATTCATGTCCTTTGCACACGTTTGAATTGGTTTGTTTATTTTCCTACTAAGGTATTATAATTCTGTAGATTTTAGGATTTAGTCTCTTGTCTCTTGTCAGTTTCCCCCCACTCCAAAAGTAGTAATTCATTTAAAATTGTATCTTTATATTTGGAATCAAAATAATTATTTTTGATAAACAAGGTACGTTTTGATTCCACAATTTTAATACTTTATTCAATAGAATGCAGTAATGCCCTAATGAAAATACAGGCATGATTTATTTTTCTTTAAATTGTTTTATTAGGGGCTCATACAACTCTTATCTCATTCCATACACACATCAAATGTGTAAAGCACATTTGTACATTCATTGCCCTCCTCATTCTCAAAACACTTGTTCTCCACCTAAGCCCCTGGCATCAGCTCCTCATTTTCCCCCTCCCTCCCCGTTTCCCCTCTCCCTCATGAACCCTTGATAACTTATAAATTATTATTTTGTCATATCTTCCCCTGTCCAACGTCTCCCCTCACTCACTCTTCTGTTAAAACAACAATGGTACCTCATTGATGTTTTAATTTGCATTTCTCTTAGGGGTAAAGATCGGGAACATTTTCTCATATGTTTGTTGGCCATTTGGATTTCTGCCCCTGTGAAACTTCTGTTCAGGTCCTTTGCCCACCTCCTCAGTGGGCAATTAGTTTTTTCTCTTTTTGGAAGCTAGCAGAGTATTGTAGATTTTAGTAATAAGGCCTTTGTCTGATGTGTCATTGCTAGAGATGTTTTTCCAGTCCGTGGACTCTCTTATTACTCTCTTGGTGAATTATTTTGATGTACACAGGTGTTTTATTGTCAGTATATTCCATTTGTCAATTTGTGCCTCCTCTGTGTTTGTGTCTTTCCCTGTTTCTGATACACCCTATGTATTCCCTGTGCTAAAGTTCTCAAGTTGGTCCCAATTCCCTCATTGATGTCCCTAATAGTTTGGGGTTTAACTTCAAGGTGTGTGATCCACCTTGAGTTTATTCTTGTGCATGGAGTGAGATAAGGGTCTTGCTTCATTTTTCTGCAGGTAAATATCCATTTTTTTCCAGCACCACTTGTTAAAGAGGGCATCTGCTTCCCATTGGATATTTTTGGGACCCTTATCAAAATCAGTTGTCTGTATGCTGATGGTTTTATTTCTGGGTTTTCAGTTCTTTTCCATTGGTCTCATGATCATCGGTCATTGTACCAATACCATGCGGTTTTGACCACTGTGGCTGTATAGTATGTGCTAGTCAGGTAAAGCAAGCCCTCCCACTGTGCCCTTCTTCTTGAGGAGTTCTCTGCTAATTCTGGGCTTCTTCCCTCTCCATATGAAGTTGGTAATCCGTTTTTCCATTTCTTTGAAGAAAGATGAGGGTATTGCATTAAATTTATTTAATGCCTTCGGCAGAATTGACATCTTGACTATATTGAGTCTTCTAATACACGAGTTTGGGATATTCTTCCATTTGTTGAGGTCGCCCTTGGTTTCTTGTAATAGTGTTCTGTAGTTTTCCCCATATAGATCTTTTGTTCTTTTAGTCAGGTATATCCCTAGATATTTCAGTTTGTCTTTGGCTATTGTGAAGGGTGCCACCTTTTTTATCTCTTCTTCTGTGGTCTTATCCGATGTCTATAGCAGTCTGATGGACTTCTGTTTGTTGATCTTGTAACCTGCCACTCTGCCAAACTCCTCTATTGTTTCCAGTACTCCCCTTGTGGAGCTTTTGGCATTTTCCGCATATAAAATCATATCATCTGCAAATAACAATAGTTTCACCTCTTCCTTCCCCAGACGATTGTCTTTTCTTTGCGTTATGCTGTTAGCTAAAGCCTCCAGCACACTATTAAATAAGCGTGGGGACAAGGGGGCATCCCTGTCTGGTCCCCTTTTTCAGTGGGATTGTGTTAGTCTTTTCTCCATTGACTACTACGTTTACTGTTGGTTTTTCATGTATAGCTTGTATTGTCTTGAGGAATTTTCCTCCCATTCCTATCTTCTGAAGTGTCTTAAACAGGAATTGGATGTTGTCGAATGCTTTTTCTTCATCTGTCGATATTATCATGTGGTTCTTAACAGTTTTTCATGTCAATGTGGGGAATGATACTAATGGTCTTTTGTATGTTGAACCATCCCTGCATCTCTAGTATGAATCCCACTTGGTCATGGTGAATTATTTGTTTTATATACTTTTGTATTCAATTGGCCACTATTTTGTTAAGGATTTTTGCATTGATGTTCATTAGAGATATTGGTCTGTAGTTCTCGATTCTGTGGGGTCCTTGCCCGGTTTTGGTATCAATACTAGCTTCATAGAAGGAGTTCGGGAGTTTGCCGTCTTTTTTTATATTCTGGAAGAGTTTGTGTAGGATTGGTGTTAGTTCAAGTGAACTTCGACTCATAGCAACTCGCTGTGACAAATTAGAACTACTACTTCGTTGTTTGTTTTTGCTTTTTAACTATAATTGTTCTTGCAGCAGATCACCTTCTCTTTTTTCCCCACAGGGTCTCTGTCTAAGTTTGAACTATCAAACGTGTTTTTTTTGTTTGTTTTCCAAATTTAGGGTTAGGTGGTTTTTATTTGGCCCTCTTTCCATTTAGCTGTATTCTCCACCCCACCCTATTTTTTTTATTCCTTTTCAAAATTATGTTTGCATCTTAGCATGCGAAAGCCCTTTGTGATCTGACCATTCTGTAGTTTTCAAGAGTCTTTTAAAATCACTCTCCTTCATATTTCCAGATACTCTTAATGATTTCTAAATGAGTGTCCTATTTGCTTTTTAAGTCATCTCAAATCCTTATCCCTTTGCCCTGGTATTTTCTTTATCTGGCAGAGATTTGCTCATATTTGTATGGTGAACTCCTTATCCTAATCCAGAAAGTTTAGCTTCCATCCAGAAGTTTTCTCCAGTACTGGTAGTGTATATAAGGACTTTGCCCTTTGAGCTCCTGACTGTCTAGTGGTAGTTATCCTTTTGTTTCAACTATTTATAGTGCAAACTAACTCCGAACCTCCATTATATTATTAGAGGATGAGAATTTATTTCTCAGTGTCTGCATATTCAAATCCCAGGACAGTCTAGCATTTCTTAAACATTGTCTAAATATGTTGGATCAGGGTGCAAAGATGGGAAGATAGGATGTTGTGGGAAAGGAAGCTACTTAAGAATTCATAGACATCTGAGAGCAAATAAATTCTACATAGTTAATCACAAAAATACATTGGCTAGCAATGTAATAATTTGAATTAGTTTTCTCTCCCTAATACTGGGTAAGATTCCTTGTATTAATGGATGTAATCTATATTTTATTCATTTAAAAAATGTTAGTGATGATATTCAATAGTAACATGTATTGTGATTATTCGAGACTAATTGATTCTATTTTCCTAGAAAGTCAAGTATCATTGCGTTGGGATTTTATTTGCATGCTTATGGAATGATAGCACTGCTTAATTGTCAAATATAAACATTTAGAGAGATTTTCCTGTACAGAGCTTTATATGTTCCATGCATATAAAATGATTTTTCCAATAATTAAATTCAATATACTGGCTAAGGTTCCTATTACGTGCTTTACTAATAAAATAATTCTCGATTATTTGAAGGTGCACCTCCTCTTTCCTCTTTGGAAAAAGATAAAGAAATTGATCTTGATTTACTTCAAGATCTAATGGAAGTTGACATTGACCCTCTAGATATTGATTTAGAGAAGGACCCTCTTGCAGCCAAAGTTTTTAAGGTAGGATTAAGTTAGACTTTTCTGTGCTTTTTTAAATTTTATTTTCATTTCTTTTCCAGAACTTTTGTTTCCCAATCAGTTTATTGGGGGCTCCTACAACTCTTATTACAATCCATACATCCATCCATTGTGGGAAGCACATTTGTACATTTGTTGCCCTCATCATAGAATACACCTTTTTTTTCCCCAAGCACATTTGTATATTTATTGTCCTCATCATTCTCAAAACATTTTCTTTCTGCTTGAACCCTTGGTATCAGCTCCTCACTTTTCCCTTCCCTCTCCGCCTCCCGCCCTTCTCCGCCTCCCTCCCCTTTTCTGTGCTTTAAAATCTTTTATCTCACACTTTTTGCTTATTAATTACATAAAGAGTCAAGTTTACATATCTGTCATGAAATATAACTCATTCAAAATGCATCAAATTACCACAATTATAGTATTTTTTAAAGACCCCAACGAGGTATAACACAAAGGAAAATATACCCATTTTTATAGTAGCATAATCATTAAAATATATTTCCTATTGATAAAAAACATTAATAACCATGGGAAAATGTAGTTAAAAATTAGTCACATATTAGTCAGTGATTTAAACCACATCCAAACTGAGTGCATTGCAGATTCTAATTCTGCAAGTATTTCAGAAAGTTTGTGGAAGAATTCCATTATCTTTTAATTGCATTTTTCCATGAACTTTGGAAGTCTTATATTTTAGCCTTAGCTCTTTCAAAAGGAGCTATTTTCTAATCTCTACAGTGATACTGCCCTATTTTGCATGTTTGTGGACTTCATTAAGGGTATTATCCTTCAAGTGCTAGATAAATAAAGCTTTAGATTTTGAAGAAAATGAGAATATTGCATCACTCTTAGATATTAAGGTTATGATTGATTTTTAGGAGGTAAATTGGAGGCGAGGGTGTTTATATTATTAGGCTTTTTGAATTTAGATAATGCTTTCCTTTTAGTGAAGAGGCAAAAATAAACCCCACTTTTTTTTCTCTCTATTCTTTGAAGCCAATAAGCAGTACGTGGTATGATTACTGGGGTGCTGATTATGGTACCTACAATTACAATCCTTATATTGGAGGTCTTGGAATTCCTGTAGCAAAGCCACCAGCAAACACAGAGAAGAATGGGTCACAGACAGTTAGTGTCTCGGTATCTCAGGGTAAGTGCTTGTATATATTGTATTCTTAAACCAAATCCTAAATTTATGGATACTTTGTATTTTGATAGAATGAGCCTGGGTTTACCCTAGCAGTTTTTAGTATGACAGCTTTGCCATAGCTGTTACTGTGTTAATTTGAAGGAAATTTTATTTATTTGTGCCCATTTTTCTGTTTATTTTTCAAGATTTCACCTATCAATTTTTCCATGAACTTTTTTAGGAGTTTTCAAAAAATTGATGATAAAATTCCATTATCTTGTAATTTCATGTGTTTGAAACCTGGGAGAGAGAGAGAGAGAGAGAGAGAGAGAATGTGTGTGTGTTGGGGTAGGGAGGTTTCTTTTTTAAAAAAATAAAGCAAGATATTTTTCTACAAAAGCATACGTAATCAGAATCAGAAAATTTCCACCCCTATACTAAAAAACCAAACTTAATGCCATCAAGTCATTTCTGACTCTTATATAGGTTTTTGAGGATCTAAATCTTTACAGGATAGATAGCCTCAACTTTCTCCTGCAAAGCAGCTGGTCAATTTGAACCACCCACCTTGTCGTTAGTAGTGAAATCCTTAACCAACAATGCCACTAGGGTTTCTTAAGACTCCTTTTAAATCTCACCAGTTGTGCACTCATGTTCTTTGTTCCCAAAGAACCAATCATGCATTGCATAGTCTTATCCTTTTAGTCTGATTTTATCTGATTGAGTTCCTCTTTTGTGCCTTTTACTCCCTTAGTATTGTTGAAGATTAAAAGCCCATTATTTTTATAGATTGTTCCTCAGTTTGAGTGTGTGTTTTTTTTCCTTATGATGAGATTTCAGGTCATGCATCTTTGTCATGAGTACCACAATTAATGCTCAGTTTCTCTCTTTGTATCGTGTCAAGTAGCTTAATTTTCTTTGGTCTCCTTATTGGTGATATTATGTTTGCTGACTTTTTTTTAAAAGTTTGATTTCAAAACAAAAACAAAAACAAAAAGTTTGATTTCTTTTATCAACTGCCTTGTAGCAACTGGAGAGCTACTTGGAAAGCATGTAAATATCCCATTCTTCACCAAAATACTTAACAAAGTTAGTTTATTTATTTATTTAGTGTTATGCGAACCTTCCTTTTGTATTCCCTGCGTTATAATTTGTTGCTGTCAGTACTTTGGTGTTTATCTCCCAGATGACCCATGGGGCTCTCCTTCAAGAGAGCTTCTATGTGTTTTGCCATATATGCCCTGGCCGTCATCCTGGGACATTTTCTTGTCTCTGGTCAATGGATGTTCTAAACACATCATCTGCCCTGCTGCCATGGCCTGGAGAATATTTTTATAAGTAGTAATGGGTTATGCGCTAGGATGCTAATAACTACAAGGTAAGCAATTTGAAGCTACCAAGTACGCTGAAGGAGAAAGATAGAGCTTTCTACTCCAGTAAAGCGTTCCCTTTTTGAATCTATGGCAGGGAGTTTGGTTTTGCTTTTGCTTTAGATCGCAGATCCTTTCAGTGGACAAACATTTACAAATACACATGCAAGTTGTCTGTGTATGTTGTATCTGAATACATACATTTTTCAGCTGTGTTCATTTATGTTTAACCATATATATGTATGTGCCTTGAGTTCACTCACATACACGTCTCGTTCTAATCCCAATACTTAGGATTGGTTTTTTGGTGTTTTTTTTCCCCTGAAGCCTTAGATGCTCGCCTGGAAGTGGGACTTGAACAACAAGCAGAACTTATGTTGAAAATGATGTCAACCCTGGAAGCAGATTCCATTTTACAAGCATTAACAAATACATCTCCTACATGTAAGTAAAGTTGTCATTCTAAGAATATTGTAATTATTTTCAGGTGCTTTCAGTAGGATAGATTTTTAAATGCATACCTGGTATAAGACTGAGAGGAGATAAATATATAGCACCCTCTTTTTTTTTTTTTTAAAAACATTTTATTAGGGGCTCATACAACTGTTATCGCAATCCATACACACATCAATTGTGTAAAGCGCATTTGTACATCATTCTCAAAACATTTTCTCTCCATTTAAACCCCTGACATTAGGTCCTCATTTTTTCCCCTCCCTCCCCGCTCCCCCAGCACCCTCTTTTATTAGTTGCCTAGTTCCTTACGTGAGCACTTTTTGCTTTCTAACTAACCTGTTTCCAGTCACACTCTTTCTGTCCCTCTCTTGGTGTGCCTTGAACCTCCCAGGTATAGTGACATTGCTGGCTGCAAACATTGAGGCAGAAGCAGAGAACTCAGATGCCATCTGAACTTTCTGTCACTACTCAAAATTGGTGATACTGAAACTGCAACTCCCTGCATTGAGTCTTTGCTGACGCATAGTGACCCCTTTGTGTTTCCCTGGCCGTAACTGTTTATGGGGACAGAAAGCCCACTTTTTCTCCCGAAAAGCTACTAGTAGTTTCAAACTATGGACCATAAACGTTAAAGCCCAACTCGTAACCACTATGCCACCGGGTGATAGGACTCCAGAAGTAGAGGACAGCCTTCCACAGACTAAGTGCTTCAGAATTTAGTCTACTGCAGACCTGAATACCTGCATTTTTGAAAGTTTGACTAATGTACAGAGAAGGTTAAGATTCAATGGGCTTGAATGTAGATTATTCTAAAACCCCTTTCTCAATAATTAGTGAAGATTCTTATTTGTCACCATGCCCTTTTTATTCTTCCTTATTAATTACAAAGATTGAAAATAGAAATTGCTGGATTAGTGTGGTTCATCGTTAGATTTGTCTTAAGTATTTCTCTTGATTTGCCTATTGATCTTAAGCAATGTATTCTGTTAATTACAGTGTTTGAAATACTACTGTGTGACTTTGAACCAGTCTATACAATGTAAATTTCTGTACATATTAATGGCCAAAATTAACTTATCTCGTTTACACTTTGTGTGTAAAATCTTAAATGTGCTTAATTTTCAGTATCACAGTCTCCCACTGGAACAGATGATTCACTTCTGGGGGGATTACAAGCAGCAAGCCAAACCAACCAGTTTATCATACAATCATCATCTGTCCCAATGTTAAATGTTTGTTTTAACAAACTTTTCTCCATGCTTCAAGTCCATCATGTTCAGGTATGACTTCAGGAGAAAAGCAATATGTTTACATATCATTGCTAGCCTAGTAAAAGATGAAAATAATTAGATCATTGTTAACTCGCCAGAGACAATTTGTTTTTACTTTTTAATATTAACTCAGAAAATTATTGAAAAGTACTTTAACAGCTTTTAATGATGGGCCATTTTTAATTTGTATATTTTTAAACTTTCATACTTTTCCTGCCATATAGGTGGGTACGTCAAACTATTGCTATTAAGGTTCCAATTTATATATGCAAGGATGGTTGCAGATAAGTTCTCGAGTAGTAGACATGTATTACTGTTACTAGTGTGCCTTTAAAAAAAATCTAATTGAAACATTGTCTTTGAAGGGACCTCAGGGCTAGTTGAATTCAGGGCAGAGAGGTCAACTCAGAAGGTTGGGGTGGCTGTTTGAGGTACTTATCAAAGTGGATTGTTAACAAGAAAATTTGAGAAAATTGAAAACTGCATTGGTAAGAAAAGGGCCACGAAATTTGTGCAAAGAAAAATTTCCCCCATTATGATAGTACACCTGCTTTCTTCAAGGGTGCAAGAACTCTGAGAATTATACTGGGAAACTTTACCCCATCTGTCCTGCTCCTCTGATGCTGCTGCTTCAAAATTCTTTTTGTTCTCCAAACTCAAGAACATTGAAGAAGAACATGATTTGTGTCCTATGTATAAGGGTGTCCAAACTTCCATTTTGATGTTACAATTGAGGAATACAGAATTCTTTGGGAAGAGATAGAAACACCTCCTTCAGAAGGATGTGGACTTAGATGGAGGATATATCGAGAAATAATAGCTTCATATTTTGATAAGGTTTTAAGTAATTTTTAGAGCAATACTTTTTTACTTATCCTTGTATTATACATACCTACACATAGGATTTTTTCCCCCCTATATGTATGATTTCAAGGCTCGGGTCTCCTTTTGATTTACAAAAATCCCTGTAGTCAAATCAAATGCATTTTAATTCCACGGTTATATCGTGTATCAGCAGTAATTTTATGAATTGTTTTGTCAATTGAATTATAATAGCTAAGTAAACTCAATGCCATTGAGTTAATTCTGAATTCTAGTGACCCTTTATAGGGTTACAAAACTATAAATCTTTATTGAAGCACGCAGCCTCATGTTTCATGGAGTGGCTGGTGGGTTTGAACCAATGACTTAGCAGTTAGCAATCTTAATGCCTAACCCACTGTGCAACCAGAGCTCCTGAGAAAGTATTTAACGGAAAAATTCTCTACTTGTGACAAGGATTCTAGCATAAGATTCTTATTTAAAATGGTATTTCACAATATAATATGTAAGTAAGATTTTGTAAAATTTCAATCTTTTCTAGTTGGAGTCACTTCTCCAGTTGTGGCTCACATTGAGCCTGAATTCTAGTTCATCTGGAAACAAAGAGAATGGGGCAGACATTTTTTTATATAATGCTAATCGAATACCTGTCATTTCATTAAATCAAGGTAAGATATATCAGAACAAAGTCATTTACACGGCATGAGTAATGAGTTTTTAAAAAGTTATGAATGACATTAAATATATCTAATTTTTTTGAGATACAAAGAAGTTTATTTTATTTATTTGTTTCTTTTAAAATAATTTTATTCGAGGTTCTTACATCTCTTATCACAATCCATACATTCCTCCAGTGTGTCAAGCACATTTGCACATATGCTGCCACCATCATTTTCAAAGCATTCTCTTCCCACTTGAGCCCCTGATATCAGCTCCCTTATATCTAAATTTATATCTGTGTTTTGGGACTAGAATGTTTAGTGACAACTCATCCCCCACCATTTTCCTTAATACAATTAAAATTTGGCAGGAAAAAAACCTAGAAAACTGTTATTCTTTGGTCTACATTATCTTTTTGTATTGCTTTAAGTTTTATGCATAATAAATGTATGAGAGGTTTTAAAAAGTTCTGTGAAAATAGAATTAAAATGTAATGTACATTTCTATGAGCTTTTTGAAGCCTCCTTGTATATGTAACGAAGCATTTGCCATTGTTCAACGTTCTTTACAAGTTCAGTTCAATGTCATTAGTTGTATTTATCATGTTATACAACTATCACCATTTATCTACTTCTAAACTATTTTCACTAATAGAAGCTGTAAGTTTGTAAGCAGTGAACTTCTCTCTTCTCCCACTGGCTCATATAAATCAGTAAACAAGTCTTTATGAACTTGCCTGTTGTGCATAGCACGTAAATGTAGTCACAGTCACATTTTCTTTTTTGATTGACTTCTTTCACTCATCATGGAGCTTTAAAGGTTCATCCATGTGGTAGCTTATTCTGTGCTTTATTTCATTTTTGTGACTGAGTAATAGTTCGTTTTTTTATGTACAACCTTTTGTTTTATCCATTTATTTTTTGATGGACATTTATGTTTTCCACATTTTGAATTTGTGAGGTGCTGCAGTGAACATTGATATATGTGTATCTGTTTCTGTGTATAACTGAAATGGATGGTATCCTCTTTATGTTTACATTTTATTTCCTTATAATCTTGTTTCATAGTTCGTTTTGCAGCAACTAGTTTTTAAAAAATATGAATTAGCTCATGGGAAATTACTAAACTGGAAAAGGATGTCAATTTTTATGAGAATTATGTTCTTTCATTTTTTTCTTGATAATACAAGCGAGGCAGAAGTTGAGGGAATAGAGTACTATCCTTCAACATGAAAAGAACAAGCCTTCATCTGTGGCAAAGGGAATCTAATTTAGTTATTTTATAGAACAAAAGAAAGGAAACATCTGTTCATGGTGTTTTCTCACTAAGGAAGTACATGCGGGTATTCTAGTCTGAACGTAATGTCTGAAATCTGCCTGTAGGGGAAAGGGTATTTTAAGAATATACTCAGGGTATGTACTGTGTTTGAACACTTTTAATAGCGTCTTCGGTTTTGTGTAACCACCAGGTTGCTTCCTATCGGAATTACCTCATTATTTTTCCCAGCTTGAACTCTGGCGGCAAAGCTCCATTGGATTTGAGTACAGTGCCCTAGCCCTGCTTTTTCAGGATGCACTCTTGTTTTCAGTTTTTACATCTTCATATCATCAGGATTTCATATTGTTAGAAAAGAAACCAGTTTCTAATGATAACATGTTAATTTTTGTGTCCTGGGCCAAAGTTCAAGCCTAACTCTACTATATCTTAATGAATCTTAGGGCTTCTGCCTTATTTAATGAGGAATCTGTATGAGTTGAGAACACTAGTTAGTGAGTTGATTTGCAAAATACTGTTTTTTCAAGTAATTTCTTTGTTTTTTAATTCATAGTAGACCTATGTTTAACTTACTGAATAGAACTTTTCTCTTTTTTCTCCTTAGCATCAATAACTAGCTTCCTCACCGTACTAGCTTGGTATCCCAATACTTTGCTCCGGACATGGTGCCTTGTGCTTCATAGTCTAACACTCATGACAAATATGCAGCTGAATGGTAAGTTCACAGTCTTCTTAATTTAAATTTTCGCGTATACTTTAATTTTTTTGCTAACAGATTTTTTAAAAGGATGTTTTCAAGAATTGATATAGTTTTGAATGTGATTAAATTCTTTATTTAACTATCTCTTCCAAATTTCTTATGTTTAATCCTTTGTGATTGTTACTTTGTAGTTTCATATAACTCATTATGTGTTCACACTATATTTTCATTTTCTCAAGACCTATTGTATAATCATATGCCATCAAGTCGATTCCAGTTCATAGCTGCCCTGGGAGAAGAGAGCAGAACTGCGGTAGTGTTTTCACGTCTTTCTCCTGCCTAGCGGTTTCAGACCCTGCATCTTTTCCTTAGTAGTCTAGAGCCAAACTGTACTGCCAAGGTCCCTTCGTAAGTCATTATAAGAAAACGGCTTTTAGAGCATCAATTCAGTTATCTTACTAGTTTAACTTCTCTTTAAAGTTCCTTTGCATTTATAAATGACTTATAATATTTGTGAAAGATTTTGGTTTTTTTTAATCTAAATGATGTTCCATGAGCACAATTATACCATCTTTCACTGATTCACTGCCCTTAGTTTTCTATTCTCCACCCAGTCCCCCCCCGCCCCCCCCCCCTTTTTTTACGGGTGCTTTCCCTCTCATGGCATCCCTGAGTGTGTCTGAGTAGTCGTATCCTTTACAGGGCTTTCGTTGGCTGATTTTTTTTTTTCTGAAGTAGATCACTAGGTGTTTTTCCCAAGGTGCCTCTGGGTAGACCTTAATATTTACCCTTTAGTTTGAACCAGAGTGTGTTAACTATTGGGACTCCCTAAGAACTCTGCAATTAAATTAAAGTAGCAAAATAACTTCTGAACTCAGTAAGGCTTAAATCCTGTTAATAAATTCAAACTTCTGATAATATTAAGGATCCCTCGTGGCACTGTCAGAGTAAGTGTTGGATTGCTTACAAGACCAATGGTTCAAGCCTATCGCTGAGGAATAAAGTTGAGACCATTTGTTCCTATGAAGATTTACAATCCCAGAAGCTCTAGATAGGGTTGCTATGAATCAAAATCCACTTGATGGCAGTGGGTTTGTTTTATTTGTTATTTTTATATTGGTAGTATGTGAAAGTTGCTTGGGAATAAAAGATAATATTTAAAAAATGCACTTCCCTGGTTTCAGGCCCCCCCCCTTTTAAAAAGTTATTTTATTGGGAGCTCGTACAATTCTTATCATAGTCCATACATACATCCATTGTGGCAAGCACATATGTACATTTGTTGCCCTCATCATTCTCAAAACATTTGCCTCCTACTTTAGCCCTTAATATCAGTTGCTCTTTTTCCCCCTCCCTCCCCACACCCCCCTCCCTCATGAACCCTTCATAATTCATAAATTATTATAGTTTTGCGAAGTCTCTCTCCGCTCTCTTCTCTGCTGTGCATCCCCCAGGGAGGAGGCTATACTTAGATTCTTGTAATTGGTTCCCCCTTCTACCCCACATTCCCTTCACCCTCCAGGCATTGCCCCTCTCACCACTGGTCCTGAAGGAGTCATGTATCCTGGATTCCCTGTGTCTCCAGTTGCTATCTGTACAATGTATATCCTCTGGTCTAGCAGAATTGGGATCATGCTAGTGGGGCAGGGGAGAAAGCATTAAAGAACTAGAGGAAAGTTATATGTTTCATCGTTGCTTCCCTGTACCCTGATTAACTCGTCCCCTCCCCACAACCCCTCAGCAAGGGGGTGTTCAGTTGCCTACCGATGACTCAGTCTCCACTCTGCACTCACCCACCTTTACAATGACATGATTTCTTGTTCCTTAATGCCTGACACCCGATCACATCGACAGCTCATGGTCACACATGCTGGTGTGCTTCTTTCATGTGGGCTTTGTTACTTCTGAGCTAGTTGGCTGCTTGTTTATCTTCAAGCCTTTAAGACCCCAGATGCTATGTCTTTTGATAGCCAGGCACCATCAGCTTTCTTCACCACCTTTGCTTATGCAGTTTCAGGTCCTTTTTTAAAGATTATTTCATCTTACTATTTTGTTCTATAGGTGGTTCAAGCAGTGCCATTGGAACTCAAGAGAGTACTGCCCACCTGTTGGTTTCAGATCCCAATCTCATCCATGTGTTAGTGAAATTTCTTTCTGGCACCAGTCCTCATGGAACAAATCAACACAGTCCCCAGGTAATACTACTTTTGAAAACTAGTGATATTTCTGTTTTGTTCAAAAACCTATACATAGGTCAGCTTCAAAATTTTGCTTTTTAAAAGACCAGGTAAGACTTACTGAAAATCATGCTGGGTGTTTGATTTTTTTTTTTTTAAACTCACCTGTAGAGGAGCTTACTTAAGAATGCTGTTTTGTGGCTCAATATTAGATACTAACTTGAGCTTTTAAAATACTCGAGTGGATTGTGTTGTATATATTTTTTCAGGATTTTATGTTTTGTTTATTGAGCCAATAGGATTGATTGATTTTAAATGGAAATTTAAGATAGCATTCACCATTCCAAGACATTAACACAGGTTTCGTAGTGTGGTTCTTGCTACCATTTGTTTCATTCAAAAGATACTTGTTTAGGGAAACAAAGTGATTTCAGGGGTACAGACCTATTTTTAACTTCACTTTAAAAAAAAACAACTTCCTTTTCAGGCTTATTAAAAGTATGACCTTTTTTGGGTCACTTGACCTCTCAAAATCTTTTATGATGAAATTATTTTTATTAAAGTTCCTTATGGAAAATCAGTTTGAGTGGATTCTTTATACTTTTGAAAGAATTATAAAGCTAGTTATTGTGTAACCTAGGTGAAAATATTTATTCTGAATAAAGTTAAATATACCTAGCATAACTCGTTAGAACTCGTTAGGAACCATAATTGTAAAGTTAGTATTGGAAATAGCATCTATACTTTGGAATTTAAAATAAATACATTATGACTTAACCATTAATTTGCTTGCCATATTAATACTTTTGCTCTTCCTCATATGAAAAGTTAAAACATTATAGTGTTTAACTTCATATTTTAAAGTGAATGATTCTGTAAACCCAGTGACTCCTTGTGACCCTGTAATACAGAATAGGACTGCCCCTTTGGGGTTTAGGAACTGTACATCTTTATGGTAGCAGATAAAGCCTCATCTTTCTTCCTTGAAGCAACTATTGGGCAAGAACTGCTTATCCAGTAGTTAAAACTTCAGAGCATACCCCATACTCCACCACGGCTACTTTTGATTCTGTAAAGGGATCAGTGATCTGTTTGCAATGTCATTTTATCTTCAGGTTGGACCCACAGCTACACAAGCTATGCAAGAATTTCTTACCAGATTACAAGTGCATCTCTCTTCAACCTGTCCTCAGATATTCAGTGAATTTTTGCTCAAGTTGATTCATATACTTTCAACAGAGAGGTAAATTTCAATGTACGCGTACTATGACATACTCTAGATACACTGTTCGTTAATTTGACATTTGTGATGATTTGCTGGGAACAGATAAAAGAGTATGTTAGAGATTGTGCAAGGAAAGGTTGTTTAGTGACTGTGTCAGTCAGTTATTTTTTTTTTGGAGACACTACAGTTAGTAGTATTTATGCCCGGAAATAGCAAGCCTCCTCTATTTGATGATTAGCGTGTGGTTTTCATTCTCTCTAGTCAAGTGTTGTATTTGGTTTGATTTTATCATTGCTGTGTTTGTCCTGTGCAGCTTTGACGTTAAATTCTTGGTAATTTTTGTTTGGGAATGGGGTACACACACAAGAGGGTGTTTCCTTTGTTGTTGCTTTATCTTCAGCTTTTATGTTTTGAGTACATTTACACCACAGATAAAATCTTTCTACTCAGCTTCACTGTCAACATCTGACTGTATAGTTTTCGATGTTTGCTAAGCGACTGGAGGTGGCAGGTATCTGCTGATGCTCGGGCCCTGTTGCAGGCTTTCACGGGCTCTGTCTGCTTGAGTCTCACTCAGTGTGGAGCTTTTTCATTGATTTTTTTTTTTTCTCCCCCTCTTTGTGTCAGGCGAAGTCTGCCTTATATCACTATTTCTGTGCAGTAAAGCATTTCCAGTTATCCATGAATAGACCTGTTAGTATTGGAGTAGGATTCTAGGTTTATTTTCTACCCCTTGGTCAGGGATAAAGGATTTTAGAAAATTCTTTGCCCAGATGCTTAAGGGGTCTTTGCTTTTGTCCTTGAGGCAAGGGGTTGTTGCCCATTTCCCACTGCACTAATTTAAGACTCTTAATTCTTTCGGGGAGAGAAGCCTGTGAGCAGAGCTTTATTCCTTTCTTGCAACCTCTCCCCTCCTTACTTAGGTCTCTGAACCTTTAGTTATGTTCTTTCTGATTTTCTGCTGCTTTGCCCTTAATCTATGGTGGCTATCTGTGCAGAAGCGTCTGTGATTGCATGTGAACACTTAAAAATGTTGTATTATCATCCTAGTACACATGTTTGTCCATTAAATATAGCTGAATTCTTACCCATTTGTTTATCACAAGGGTCCTTGTTTGCCAGGTTCTGCCACAGAGAGCTGATAACCCTCATCCCATCTTCTCTGGGGTACTTCGATTTCAGCATATTTGACTTGGTGATCTCAGGTCTCTGGTTAGTTTCATTTGTAGGTAATTTGACTCGTGACTTTTCAAGCGTTTTGGCATTTTAGACAGATTGATTTTGAAAGGCTTCAATTTTGTTGCATAAGAATTATTTCTTTGAGTCATATTTTTTGAGAATATCACTAGGAAATGTTTAAAAGAGCAACATTTGAGGATGTGAGAAATAAATCCATTGTAGGAAGTGCCTTGTGATAATGAAATTTTTCGTCTTTCCTTTAAAATCGTCCCATTGACTTACATGTCCTTAGTTTTCTATTTGGAAAGGACATTATTATTTTGTATGCAGGAGGTGGGGGAAATGAAGATTCAGAAAGAGCTATAAACTGTTAACTGAAAAATTAAAAGTGAATTCCAAGTTCATTGCATTCTTAGTTTTCTTCATTTGTGGTAGTTATTTCTATCCTAACTATTGTCATTGGATTACGTGCCGCAAATCTATTTTTCTCTGCAGGGGCGCCTTCCAGACAGGCCAAGGACCTCTTGATGCCCAAGTGAAACTCTTGGAATTCACGCTGGAGCAGAATTTTGAAGTTGTTTCCGTTAGTACTATTTCTGCTGTGATAGAGTCTGTCACCTTTTTAGTGCACCACTATATCACCTGCTCAGACAAAGTGATGTCTCGAAGTGGATCCGATAGCTCAGTCGGTGCTCGAGCGTGCTTCGGAGGACTTTTTGCCAACCTCATTCGACCGGGTGATGCAAAAGCAGTTTGCGGTGAAATGACAAGAGATCAACTCATGTTTGATTTGTTAAAACTGGTTAACATTTTAGTGCAGCTGCCTCTTTCAGGCAATAGGGAATATAGTGCAAGAGTGTCTGTGACCAGCAATACAACCGACAGTGTTTCAGATGAAGAAAAAGTCTCAGGAGGCAAAGATGGTAATGGAAGCAGTACCAGTATTCAAGGATCACCTGCCTATGTTGCTGACTTAGTGTTAGCCAATCAACAGATTATGAGCCAGATTTTGTCTGCTCTAGGCTTGTGTAATAGCAGTGCCATGGCAATGATAATTGGTACGTATTGAAAATGCTTCTTTTTTTACTTATTCCTGGTACAGATGGTATCTCTTTCCTTTAGCAATATATGGATTTTTTTAAAAAATTACAGGTAGTGTGACTTAATTGGAAGCTACTTACACGACTGAATTTTCTTAGTGAAGTCATTTTTTTTAATTTATAAATTAATTTGAACTTTAAAACTTGCCTTGTGTAAAATTAGACTTCACTACAGCAGTCTATGACATAATGAGGATGGTTCACAGGGTGTATAAAAAATTGGAATGAAAGTGGGGGAATGGAAACTGGAAGTATAGAAAGCAGATGGGATAAGTAAAATTTCATTGGAAAAGTCCAATAAATGAGATGTGATAAGATTTGTTTGAAAATTAAAACATTATCTGTTCTGTAAACCTTCACCCAATTCCCAAGAAAAAAATTGAGAGATCTCTTGGCTAAGCTCAAGTAGGGCAGTGGGGGTGGGAAGGAAGGGAGAATAATGAGATTTTTTTTTTTTCCTCCACAATCTTTTGGAAACCCTCTGGTTAAATATATATATTGCTGTTTAGTTTTTCTGTTTGAATGCTAACACACTCATGCACCTCTTCTAGCCACTCAGGCTTATCTGAACACCTGTATATTCATGGTTTCAAACCGTATAAAGCCCATCATAAATTTCAGGTCCATACAGTGATCCATAACACATGAGCACTACCTTGTGATGTGCATCAAAACTGTAATTTTACTGTATTAATATGCTAAAGATGTCCCAGTATGTCTCGACCTGTCTTAGATGTTTTATATACCTAGAAAGGTGTGTACTCTATTTATCCCAACACTTGACATTAAATGCAAGCCATACCTAAGTTCAAATTTTTGTACAAATTCTATCTTAGTACATACTTAGGAATGAAATTCCTTCATTAACCATGGACTATTTGTATAGGATATGATCTTCACATGGTGTCCAGATCACACATCTTTCTGTTTTACTGACTGTGTTGTGAATGCTAAATGAGGCAGAAATGTTCATTGTGTGTGGTTTCATAATTTTTAATAATGGAACTTTTATAATTGGGACAGAATCATTCCTGATATGTATTTGCCTGTTAGTATTTTGTCTGTGTAATAGATACAAATGTACATTCTTTTCCATTATATTCTATGAAGGGTAGTTATATAACTGTCACTCAACCATACCTTTTCATTTCCTGTTTTAGTTCTTAATGTATTGCTAATGAGTTGCATGATGGTTCTCAATCATAACAGCAGCTTCTTTGTTACCATTAATAGCATATTTCATATTAGTAGTTAGTCAAAAGTATATTTTGCTGAATATTTGTTATCATACCTAAATGTCATTATCTAGTGCTGTTTATAATATACTATCTAGTGCTATGTAGAAGATCTAAATGCTACTGTAATAGAAATAACATGAATGAATGGCTTTAACAAACAGAAAATTTTTTCTCACTCTTGAGAGTTTTAGGAGGTGTGATGTCCCAACTTAGGGTACCCAACCCAGGGAAATGCTCTCTCTCTCGATGGCCCTCTAGGGAAGTCCTAGTTGCTTCTGACTTTCTGACTTGGTCAGTCTCCATGGACTTGGCATCTCTTTTTGCTGGTTTGTGTTTCATCTCTTTTATAGCCCAAAAGAGATTGACACACGATGTGCCTTACATGAGTTCTGCCTTATTAATAGGACAAAGGCTACCAGTTTCCAAAAATGATTATAACTACAAGCATAGAGTACAACACTTTTGGGGGGAGGGTACAATTTAATCCATTATACTAAATAGATTTGCATGTAGGCATTATATACCTATCTTTCATTGGTCAGGGAAAATTGGCTTTTAAACCTCTGTATTTTAATTAATGATTTTTCAAGAAAATTTTAAATTTACAATTCTTTTCGTTAAATTAGGAGCAAGTGGATTACATCTCACCAAACATGAAAACTTTCATGGTGGATTGGATGCTATATCAGTTGGGGATGGTTTGTTTACCATACTGACAACCCTTAGTAAAAAAGCTTCGACAGTCCACATGATGTTGCAGCCAATCTTAACCTACATGGCCTGTGGATATATGGGCAGACAAGTAAGTTCAATCCAACAACAGCTGTAGTAATGTAAATAGTTTCTGGGAACAAGAGTAGAGAATAATGCCTAGGACAGGGAAAAATAAGATTAATAAATAGTGGGAAATATAAAGCACTGGTAGATAATGGATTGTAAATAGGAAAATGAAGTGTGTGGAAATTAAATTTTCAAAGATAACCAAAATTATATGTGGAAGAATAAGACATTTAACATAGTCTCAATTTTTACATGTTTTTCCTTTAATTAGCCAAATTAGCATTTTCTTTCCCCCTAAAATAGTATACTTTTTTCCCAGAATGATTTTATAGATGTTAAACATGAGAACTTAATGAGTAATTTTAAAAGCATTTCTTATATATTTAGTGTCAGGTGAAATTGATGAGGTTAACTGTACAAATAAAATAGAATATCACTGATTTTTGTACTTTAAAAGCATATTTGACTGTTTTAACTTCTAATTCATTCAACAATTTTTCAAATGCAGATATAGCATAATTTCTTAAAGAAATTTGGACATGCCATATGTAACTAGCTTTTTTAGACATTAATTTCTATGTATGTATATAGCTCTTAATTGGAATATAGAAAGTTATTTGATAGGAATATTTTTAAATTAGTAATTATATCTAGTGGGAAGTATAGGATGTATACATTAATTATGGTCATGCATGATAGTAATAGGGGAAATGGATAGGTACATAATAAATGCTGTGAATTTAATAAGAAGGCACTTCACTTCTTTGCCTATGCAGATAAAATTTCTTTTATATTTTGATAATTATTGTGTATTGATATAGTTTAGCTTTTATAAAGATTAAGTATAAAATATTAACACTAAGAAGCTTAGTTGAACTAATTCATAGTATATCAATTGTCACTTTTAAAAATCACAATATGCATGTGTATATATTTTTTAGGGCTCTCTTGCTACTTGCCAATTATCTGAACCATTATTATGGTTCATTTTGAGAGTATTGGATACCAGTGACGCCTTAAAAGCATTCCACGATATGGGTAAGATAAAATACTAAAACCTGCCATTGAAACATAATCATTTGTTAGTATATTACATCCACATTTACATAGCCTAATAATGAAAGTTGACTCTTGACTGGCAAACTGTCTATCCTAAGATAATTTTCATTTAATTTATTTTTAAATTTAGGTGGTGTCCAGCTCATTTGCAACAATATGGTTACTAGTACAAGGGCAATTGTAAACACTGCTAGAAGCATGGTGTCAACTATTATGAAATTTCTTGACGCTGGTCCAAATAAAGCTGTTGACAGTACTTTGAAAACAAGAATATTAGCGTCTGAGCCTGATAATGCAGAAGGGATCCATAATTTTGCACCCCTAGGTAAGAAAGCTTTTAATAAATCTAAGTGGTATGAAAATTTCTATCTCTATAACTAGTTTCAATTAAAATGCATTGATTAGGTAAGTTGGTGGTACTTTAATATCACTTTTTGAATTATAAATAGTTGATTCTAAAGTTAAATAGTGAAATATTCCAATGCTAAGATATGGGAGTAGAAAGCCTCTTCTTTCTCCTGCAGAGTGACTGATGGTTTTGAACTGTTGTCTTTGTGGTTAGCAGACCAACATGTAACCACTCTGCCACCAGGGCTCCTTCCAATGCTAAGATATTAAATAGTTCTTTAACAGTAAAGTTTTTATTTTTTAAATTGATACACAATATGAAATTAATGTTTATGTCAGTTTTCCCTGAAAATGTTAATCAGCTTTAAAGAATTTAGTTGCTTTTCAAGTGTTATTGTCCAGAAGACAAATTTTATTTTATTTTTTTATTTCTTTAATCATTTTATTAGGGGCTCATACAACTCTTATCACAATCCATACATACATCAATTGTATAAAGCACACTTGTACATTCATTGCTTTCATCATTCTCAAAACATTTGCTCTCTACTTAAGCACCTGGCATCCGCACCTCATTTTTTCCCCCTCCCTCCCGCTCCCTTCTCCCTCAAGAACCCTTGGTAATTTACAAACTATAATTTTGTCATACCTTGCACTGTCTGATGTCAGAAGCCAAATTTCAAATTGAGATATTTGTTCTTTGTTCAGGCTACATAGTTTCTTTTCCTATTTTCCTTTTAATAATTCTAATTAATGAAATTGACATAATAGAATTAAGGTGATTATTTTCTTTTTCTTTTTTAGGTGATTTTTTTCAAAATGAAACCTTCATTAGACATTGCTGTTTAAATCATTAATACATTACTAGTTTTGTTTTTATTAAGTTTTTAGTATAAAAAGAAGCAGCAGTTAATATTGAACTTGTCACACTACCAGTTGAATAGATTGGCTGATGTTTTGTGAATATGCTGGCAATTAGGTCAAGAATACTAACCATATCAAAAGCATCAAATGTTGTTAGTTCATTTTTTTTTCTTGAATTATTTGAATAGTTTTGATGCTTTATGGGGTTTCCTTTGCAAGCTTTGTTTTATTTTTAATGTCTTCTTTCTTTAGGTACTATCACATCTAGTAGTCCGACTGCCCAACCAGCTGAAGTGCTTTTGCAGGCCACGCCGCCCCACAGAAGAGCTCGCTCTGCCGCTTGGTCTTACATCTTTCTGCCAGAGGAGGCGTGGTGTGACCTTACCATTCACCTCCCTGCAGCAGTGCTTCTGAAAGAGATACATATTCAACCTCACCTTGCATCTCTTGCAAGTGAGTAATACTCTGTAAATAAACATGAGAATCAAATACTTTAGAAACACTTAACAAATGAGAAAAATATTTGCAATGTCTGATTTAAGTAATACACTTAGATATGAATTGCTTAATTCTAAACAATTTTGAAAGTATAATCCTCAGCTCTGCATACTATGTGGTCCTTGAGTTAATCCCAACTCTTGGTGTCCCTATGTGTGTTTTTATAGTAGCACTATGATCCATAGAATTTTTCATGGCAAATTATTTGGAGGTAGATCACTAGGCCTGTTTTCCATTTGGCACCAAGTAATTTTTCATGAGGTGAAATGATATGTCCAATTACACTTAAAACAGAAGGGCTGATGCTATCCAAATGTATCCAGAATATGTATTATTTTGGCTCCCCCCTTCACCACACACCACACCCCCGCCCCCCCATGCACTTTAAAGTACTATATTAAGCTGAGATAAGTTCATTTTACCGTGTAGGTAGGATCTTAGTTTTTCCAGCTAGCCCTGAAGTTGTCCTCTTCCTACAACGTAACGTTAGCATAGGTTTAGTTTTTCTCTCCTCCATCTGTAAGATAACTACTACATATATGAAGAGTTTTCTATTACAGTATTTTAATTATGATGAGTATATTTCATTGTTGCCATTGTTCATTGAATATGAAATAGTGTCATAATTTTATGGTACCCAAATTTTTTTAGTATTAATGTATTTTTTACATAGTAGAAATTACATTTGTATATGTTCATTACAAGTTTTCATTACTATCAATTGTCACTCAATTATTGAACGAAAAGCCAACAGAAACTTTTTGGAACACTCGAAGAATACATTTTTTCCCCCACTTACTGAAATGAGACCATTATTATTCCATAATATAGTTATGAGATATGTGTATGTAATCAATATGAAAGCAACAGAGAATTTCACTAAATAAGCAGGGTTTTAATCAGTCCATAAATAATCATTGTAAGACAAAGCGTAAGTCAATATAGGACTTGAGGGAAATGCTTAGGAATTAACATGAAGAAATTGTTTTTATTTGGAAAGAGGACGACTGCTCATGTAAATGATGGTTTTTGAAATGTACCTAGAATTTGTACATAGCGTTAGGATTGGAAGAATATTACCAGGGGAACAGTTTCTCTTAGTTATAAAATATCTATATGTGTAGATGTTCCCTAGTAGATGTGTACGAGTAGTTCTGCATTTGGGACTGAGTTCCATTTCATTGACTCTTCTTGAAAGACAGCTTTGAACTAAGTTAAATCCCATTCATTCATTCACCCACTCATCCTTTTCCTCATCGTTTCCATCTATTAACAGTATATGCCATCTTTATTTGCCTTTGGTGGCTAGAAACATTACATATAAACTTACAGAAACACATTAACAGATGCATTCAAATCATAAAATGTATGCCAACACTGGAGAAAGGTTGAATGACATTGGTCTTTTGTCAGTTGCAGTAATAACTTAGGGAGGAGTCTGCGTGATCTGGATTATTCACAGGCCTGGTGATTTTAGTGAGATATAGCAAGAGTTGTCTGTATGACCTGTGTTTCACAGTGACGTCTTACTGTTTCCCTGATCTGTCTATTGACTGTAGTAAAACGGTCAACATTTGGGCCCATGCTTTCCAGCCACTGACACTTCTGATTTAGTTTAGAAAACAATCTACCCAATACTGTTTTATATAGTAAATCATAACACTGAACATATGAGTGAACATCATAACGTCAGCAAACGATGTGACACAACATTTTATATACATAGGACTAACAGTATAATATACTACTACTCTTAAAGAAAAAAAGTCTTATATATGTTTTGTAATAATTCAAATGTGTTATAAGCCAGGAACTACATGTAAAACAGTTTGACTTTAACATTGGTGTTGATTTGAAGTAGAAGAATATTGAGATCCAGTTGAAATAAAACCAATTTTGGAATCAAATAAGAATTTGAATATAAGATAATGACATCTATTCATTCCTGGAGTTTGGATTACTGAATCTCTTGTTCTATCTCCTCATGAAACTGTGTCAAATACTTTCTTCAAAGAATTAGGAAGATTAAATTAAATATTGGCATATTTTTAGTTAGTACCTGGTATGTAACTGACACATAATAAATATTTCTAGTTTTATTGCTGACATAAGTTTAAACAAATTTTAAGCCTCTTAACATTTAAGAGATTTTTATAGTTGGTAAATAGATTCTTAATATAGGCCTATGTGCTATGTTACATAGTCTCCTTCCATAAAGATTTATTGTCTTGGGAACCCTGTATCAACATTGTAAGTTGGGATCGACTTCATGGAAAGGGATTTGGATTTTGGAAGGTTTGTGCTAGAAAAAAGTAATGTCCTCATAGTAGCTGCTGGTTGCAGCTTTTTGGCTTCTTTAGATTTTACGAAGAATTGAATTTGGTTAAATTTTGGAAGAGGAACAAAAGATAGCAGATAAAAGGAATTTAAAAACTCAGCTGTGTTTAAAACATAGTGTAATAGTTAAATGAGTTGTTGGCAAGCACCTATATATTTTTACTACCATCTTGTTTAGGAAGCACTGGTGGTGCTGTGGGGTTAAGTGCTGGGACTGCTAACCACAGGTCCACAGTTGACACCTGCCAGCTGACCCACAGGAGGGAAAACCTTGGAAATCCTTTTCAGGGTCACTGTTGGTCACAATCAACTAGTAGTGGGGTCAGCCATCTTTTCCATTCACGTAAAGCAGTGAGTTGTAGTATATTAATACTTTTGGTGGTAAGACTGAGTCAAATACAAATTACAGATTTATTAACCTAAATGGCTGTAATTTTGTGTGAGAAAATGAATTAAATGTGGATTGTACATCTTTAGTCACTCTTTGTAGGTCATTGTTACTCTTTTTATTATACTGTATGTAAAATGTTTGATTGGAAAAGTAAACTGCAAAAGTAATTGTTGTAAAAGTGGCAATAGGACTTAATAGCTGTATATATTAAGTTCTTTTGGGTTTTTGTTTGTTTTGACAAACACAAAATGAATGTAATGTAACCACTATTCCTTTAGTACTTGCTCAATTTGCTGTTTTTCCAGGCTGCCCATCCTCAGTATCTGTTGAAGTAAGTGCAGACGGGATAAACATGCTGCCGTTGTCTACTCCTGTTGTCACAAGTGGCCTCACTTACATAAAAATTCAACTTGTAAAAGCTGAAGTAGCCTCTGCTGTCTGCCTTAGACTGCATCGTCCACGAGATGCCAGCACCTTAGGTCTTTCACAGATCAAATTACTGGGCCTCACAGCCTTTGGTACCACTTCTTCAGCAACAGTTAATAATCCCTTTCTTCCATCAGAAGATCAGGTATCCAAGACAAGGTATGTTTAATTTCCCATTTTCGGATGCTTTTTTTCTACAATAATTTATTTGGTAGAATAAATCTTGTACAGAGGGGGGCGATTTGTAAATTATCAAGGGTTCATGAAGGAAGTAGGGTGGGGGAGGGTGAAAATGAGGAGCCGATATCAACGGCTCAATTAGAAAGAAAATGTTTTGAAATTGATGGCAACATATGTACAAATGTGCTCGACACAATAGATGTATGCATGGATTGTGATAAGAGCCCCAATAAAATGATTTCATAAAACAAGAATAAATCTTGTAGAAGCAGAATTCTTATGCTCGTTCTAACTTTAGATTTATGTGTATTTAATCTGAGATGATCTTTCCTATGTGTGAGGAAATACATAGGTACAGGTGCCAGTTCTTTGAATAATCTTTGAATATGGGGATTTCCAAATGTCCACCATCAGGGATAGGTCTGAATTGTACAAACTGACCACGTGTGTAGAAACATAGGCTAGTTTTATGTGGTGATACCTGAATGGCAGTCAGCTGGAGGAAAATACAACAGGGTTCCAAACCTTTCATAGGAAAATTGAATAAAGATAATAGTGTTTCCATGAATGTTTTGAAGCCCCATCATGAACAAGGACTTGAATATATAATTTATTTATTCATTTTAAGTTTTGTGATTTGAATGAAAATTTATAAACAGATTAATTTTCCATTCAATAATTCATATACATTTTGTTTTCTGACATTGATTATAATCCTAACAATCTAGCAACACTCCTCCCACTTTTCCTTCTGTTTTCTGCTTCCATTCTAACTTCTCTCTTGTTCCTTGCTTTCTGAACTCGGACTCTGGGCACTTTTCATATGGCTCATTGTTCTAAGGAGTACAAATCTCTCTGGTGGTGCTCACCATATAGGCTTATCTGTTGTTTACCTGAAAGTGTTAGTATGTCCTTTACTCACCATTATTTTGGAAAATTTTGATGACTTAAAACTTTTATAGATTGCTTTTACTGCAATTTTGTCTAGTGAAAAAAACTAGGATTTCTTTTTTAATTCCTCAGCCACCAAAATTTTACAATTTTTTAAAAAGTCTGTGACCCTATCTAATTTGTATTCATATATTGATGCATATAAACAAGGGGCTGCAGAAAGTTCGTGGAGAATCTGTTATCTTTTTATTTTCTTTTTCCATGAACTCTGAAGCCTTGTCTTATATACAAACCAGATTTCTTATTTTGTTTTTTTCAAAGCACATAGTTCTTAAATTCTCTGAGCGCTTAATTACTTATATTTGTGATGCGATAAGGGAAACTGCTTACTTCTTCATTTTTACATAAATCTAAAACATGATTTCTTTTTTAGATTGGTGTTATTTTGAAATGTAACATGTTGATCTTTAAGAAGTCAACTTTTTCCTTGAAATAATTGGAGCTGATGAATTATTTTGTGTTGTATTTTAGTATTGGATGGTTACGGTTATTACATCATTGCCTTACTCATATAAGTGATCTGGAAGGAATGATGGCAAGTGCAGCTGCACCTACTGCTAATCTGCTACAGACTTGTGCTGCCCTATTAATGTCACCGTATTGTGGAATGCATTCACCCAACATTGAGGTTGTGCTTGTGAAGATAGGACTGCAGTCTACTAGAATTGGCCTGAAGCTTATAGACATTCTCCTGAGAAATTGTGCAGCATCAGGCAGTGATCCTACAGGTGACAATTAACTTTGATGTCTTTATTTTGCATAGGCACAAAGTAAAGGCTATTCGACCATGATCTTTGTGATTCATTGTTTCTTAAGTTAATTTCCTTATTTAATGAATACTTTAAAAATAAGATTAAGCAATCATCATATTCCCTGTTTACTTAGCTTACATTTTTGTTTTTTAATTTTTTTATTCCTTCTTGCAAGATCTGAATAGTCCTTTACTTTTTGGAAGACTGAATGGACTTTCTTCTGACTCTACAATAGATATCCTCTACCAGCTTGCAACAACTCAGGATCCTGGAACAAAAGACAGGTACATGATGATCCCATTTTTCATTTAAAAACATGCTTAGACATCTACCCTCATAAACGCCCACCTCCACATACATACCCATTCTGTTGTTTGTAAGACTCTTTCTTCTTAAGTGATTTTCCAAAAGTTAAGCCTTAAATCTATATTCTATATGCTTCATGTGCTGCCACTTTCAGTAATATTTCTCTGTGTAAGACATTTTTATTATATTTGGACCTATTTTCATAAATGTGAATTCAAGTATTCCTAGTATTGCTTTAGAGGAATGGAGTGGAATAGCATTTAATTGGCCAGTTGTGTTGTAACAGGGTCATTTTACATTGATGGTCTCATGATAGTGGTGTGTATTGCAGGTGGTACTCAGTGAGTGTGAATCCATATAGGAATGCTGAGTCCGTTCTAGGTGCTGGGACTCTTGATAAAGTTGGTGTTATATTATTTGATTAATGCTATAGGTTATTGTATTCATTGACAGCTTATTGTTAATTTTCTGCCCTCTTCCCTTCTCAATACAAAATGACACATCCGATTGATTAAATGGTACCTGAAAATTTCACTTAGTTACTGTGACTTGAGTACATGTAGATTGTTTTAATCAGCTGTAGAAGCACAGTTCTGCCTTAATGTGTGCTGCTAACTCCAAATTAATAAGAAGTGCAAATTCTTTTTGAAATGCCTATCCTGACAAGTTTTTGAGCAACTTTTTGATGTCTTCCATCTATATGCAGAGAACAGTGGGAGTTTTGAAAATTTCACAGAAAAATTCCCTTATCTTTTTTTTTTTTTTACATTTTATTAGGGGCTCATATAACTGTTATCACAATCCATACACACATCAATTGTGTAAAGCGCATTTGTACATCATTCTCAAAACATTTTCTCTCCACTTAAACCCCCGACATTAGGTCCTCATTTTTCCCCTCCCCCCCCGCTCCCCCCTCTCTCATGAGCCCTTGATAATTTAGAAATTGGTATTTTGTCATATCTTGCCCTTGTCTTTTCATTTTTCTGTGAACTTTTTGAAGCCGCGCCCCCCCCAGTGTATGTATAGTAGGTAACTCATTCTTTCTGTGCTGGAGATTACTTCCTAAGGTATCTTATCCTTTGTTATCTTAATTTATGTGCACAATGATCTTTTATTTCTTATTTCATAATGAATTATAACAACAATTTTTAAATCATAACATTTTGGGGGATACTTTTATAGATATTTACTGAATTATTCCCTATATGCCTAGCACCATGGTAGTTATTAAGAGATACAATATTGATTAAACTGGGCTTCGGAGCTTCAAGGTTGGGGAGACACCAATGTCCATCACAAAAGAGGATTTGCATAAAATTAAAATGAAGATAGATAATACACTATGTAGGCAGTGAAGGTGTTCTGAGGGAAATTACTACTAAATATGTAAGAGCTTTCACTTATTATGCTTCTTTGTTTGATTACAGATGTCTGTAATGGCATTTTTAACAAAGTTTTATTTGTAGCATGGTAGCTACAAAACATTAAGTAGACTGACTTTATTTTGTATCATAATTGAATTAAAATTGTAAGAGCTTTTTCAGTTTTCCACAGTAGAGTGGGGGATTATTTAGTTTTATGCCACATTATTGTTCTATTGTACATACTCAGTTACGTACTATCAACAACAAAGAATATAAGCACACCTTTCTTTTACCCTAGAACAGAGACTACCAGTAGTCTAAACTAGACAATTGAGGGGAAGGGGAATATAAAAGAAAAACAGTGTGTTAAGTACCTGACAATGAAGCTTATCCTTTGGGTGGGGGCAGAAATATGTAACACGTTGCACTGCCTGGGGCTCTCTGCATAACGACCAATTCACCACAAACCATTGTAGGCTGTAGACATTTGCTGAAAAATGAGAGAAATTTTAGAAGTGAGAGTGACTTTGTTAGGCTGGGCTTCCAGTAATTCTAGACATTTTTTGTATTTTGTCTTAAATGAGGTCAGAAGTAATCAAAATTCATTTATTGCATCAAGGTTATGTTATCCCAGACTTTTGAGTGATTAAGTTTTTGTGGTTATTGAAACACTAGAATTGTTGTGTCCTTAACTTCTTTTCCTCCCCTCTCCCCTTTTAGATTAAAATGATCGAGAATAGCATTTTTGTTCTTATGAGTACATTACTTACCTGCAAACGTTGCCTTTATGTGTACCAAATGTTTGTTTTATGGCACCCTGGTGGTGCAGTGGTTAAAGTGTTTGCCTGCTAACTGAAAGATTGGCAGTTTAAACACACTTGTTAAAAATCAGGAGAAAGATGTGGCAGTCTGCTTCCTAAAGATGATAGCTTTGAAAAACCCTGTGAGGCAGTTTTGCTCTTTCCTGTAAGGTTGCCACGAGGCCAAGTAGATTCAATCTGTTTTTGTGTAAATGGTTTATGGAATTCATTTCCTTCTTTTAAGAATCCAGGCGTTGTTAAAATGGGTCAGTGATTCTGCAAGAGTGGCTGCTATGAAAAGAAGTGGCCGAATGAACTACTTGTGCCCCAACTCTTCAAACATAGAGTACGGTCTTCTAATGCCATCTCCTTCGCATTTGCACTGTGTAGCAGCCGTTCTGTGGCACAGTTATGAACTGCTTGTGGAATATGATTTACCAGGACTCCTGGACCGAGAGCTCTTTGAGTAAGTATGATTTGTGTACACACACACACACACACACACACAATCACTGCAGGGCTGCTTGACAACATCATATTTTATATGCTTATTTTGATGAAAATCATATTTTGAAAGTAGTAGCTAAATATAACCAGCTATAATTTTGAAATGATGTGTAGTTTTAAGAAAGTACACTAGTAGTGCTGCCTATTTAGATTTTCTACTTAAAATTAGAATGCTCAGTGTCAGTGTTCCTACAATTTTAATATCTGTTCCTACCTGCAAATATACACTCCAGATTCTTTTATCCTAAGTGTGCAACTGTAGGTTAAAGTATATCAAATTTTCAAAGACATTTCTTTTTAAAAATTTTTATTAAAAGGTCATTTCATTGGGGGCTCTACAGCCCTTATAACAATCCATACATCAATTGTATCGAGCATATTTGTACATATGTTGCCATTATTCTCTAAACATTTACTTTCTATTGAGCTCTTAGTATCAGCTCCTTATTTTTCCCTCCCTCTCCCCCACCATTAAAGACATTTCTATTTCATGTTTATGATTACTATTCTCACAGTAATTCCACTACTTTGATCATGCTCAACTGCAAATTTGCCAAACTTACAGCATAGCATTGTTTATTTCTGAAGAGTTCCATGGCTTTTGAATAGTAGGCAAATAGCCCTTTGTGCTCTAGGCTGTCTTTACAGATGACCATGAAGGTTGGCATAATCATAGTTTTTTACATTACAGACATCATCTTTCAGGAAACGTACATTAAGCTACAGATCTCTCAAATTGAACCTGAACTTTTTTGGGTGGTGGTGGTGTCTAATTTTCCTTTGTTTTATTTAAGTGACTTTTTAAGATTATCATCAAGAATGGTAATACCGGTCTAAAATACAAATCACTTTATTTGTTCATTTTATGTCTAACCTACCTAAATTCTTTATGTCATATTTAATACCCAATAAAATGTTTAATTTTTGTCAGATGTCTTGTAGAATTTAAAACAGTGAATTCTGTGTAAGAAAAATCTGCTTAACATATTTTCTTTTATTTTCATAGGTTACTTTTCAATTGGTCCATGTCTCTTCCCTGCAATATGGTTTTGAAGAAAGCTGTTGACAGTTTGCTGTGTTCAATGTGTCACATACACCCAAATTATTTCTCTCTGCTCATGGGCTGGATGGGAATCACTCCTCCTCCAGTGCAGTGTCACCATAGACTTTCCATGACAGATGATAGTAAAAAGCAGGATCTTAGTTCCTCTTTAACTGATGACTCTAAAAATGCACATGCACCTCCTGTACTAACTGAATCCCACTTGGCCACTCTTGCTTCCTCTTCTCAATCTCCAGAAACTATCAAACAGTTATTAGACTCAGGGTTGCCGTCTCTTCTTGTGAGGAGTCTGGCTAGTTTCTGCTTTAGCCACAATTCTTACTCAGAAAGCATTGCTCAGTCAATAGATACATCCCAGGATAAACTCAGGCGACATCATGCTCTCCAGCAGTGTAATAAGATGCCGATCACAGCAGACCTGGTTGCTCCTATTCTTCGATTTTTGACGGAAGTTGGCAATAACCATATTATGAAAGATTGGCTAGGTGGCCCTGAAGTTAATCCACTGTGGACAGCACTTCTGTTTTTACTATGTCACTCTGGGTCCACTACTGGAGGACATCATTTAGGTGTGCAGCAGACTAGTGCAAGGTCAGCTTCTCTTTCTTCAGCTGCTACAACAGGATTGACCACTCAACAGCGAACAGCAATAGAGAATGCAACCGTCGCATTCTTTCTCCAGTGCATTTCATGCCACCCTAATAACCAAAAACTGATGGCACAGGTAAGAGCCTCCCCACCCCCACCCCCCCACCCCCAAAACAAAACACAAGCAGATATCTGACAAGCTTGGCTTTTAGCACCAGTATGACATGAGGGAAGAATATGAATTAAGGCAGAGTTTGTGGGTAGGTGATTTTTTAAAATTTGAAGTTAAATCATCTTTAAAGTACTGGTATTTCCTTCCTCCCCTTCTCAAAATATGCTCACTTAGTTCTTCATTGTGATGAGATGGTGAAGAAAAAGGCAAGGAGATTCTTGCTATAGATCATAATCCCCTACTTTTTTCCAAACTCTCCTTTATAAGAAGAACAAAGTCAGAAGAACAGTACTACCTTCTGACCCACCTAAAATTGTATCATAGTGTTTGGATTGGCATTGAAGTTTTGCGTTTCAGTGTATCCAGCTGGCTTCAAATGGCAAGTTGTCCTGACAGAAACCACTGGATTCGTTTTCAGATTAAAGACTCCTGAGAAATCACATAAAAATATGAAAGGTTATTTATTATGTTAGTCCATGTTGTCAAAATCTTGAGATCTAGAATTATTTAAAGATCTCAGTTCTTATTGCCAGGTTCACTCCTTTTAGCTAAGAAGAAATATAAAATTGAACTACATAACTAGGTCAAAAATGTATTGTTAGGATCAAGTATTGTATCAAGTAGCCCCGGTGCACAGTAGTTAGATAAGCACTTGGCTTCTAACCAAAAAGGTTGTCCGTTTGAGCCCATCAGAGTTTGCAAGAGAAACTGGCAACTTGCTTCTTCAACGATTCCTGCCTGGAAACCAATGACACAGGTGTTTTATTGTCTCTCTTAATTTTGGAGGATATGTCCATATTTCTGCTTAACACACAGAATTTTTAAATTACTTGTATTGCCAACTTCAACCAAGGCATGAGCATGGGTATTTGAAAGGTGGATTTGAATCTCTTGGTAGCAGGAAATCTTTGTGTCCACTGCTTCTGGCCCATTCTAATATCTCTCAACTTCTTGCCAAGCCTTTGAGTATGTTTTGTTTATTTGTTTTTAGTAATTTTTTGCCATCTTGATAATTGACAAAAGTTTTTTTAAAAACTATCCTAGCCGTTATTATGTGAAAACTTATAAGAGTAATTTCTCCTACCCACATTAATTTTTGTTAAACTCTTTACTTCTTATCTACTAAAATATTCCTACTTTAAGATGAAATCATGTATTTAATTGTATATTTGTTAATTCACGTTCTTAGTTTTCTTTTCACTCTTCAAAGTAAGAAGCTACAAATGTATATTGCCTTTAACAATTAAATGTCTTGTCTTGGTAGGTTCTCTGTGAACTATTTCAGACATCCCCTCAAAGAGGAAACCTTCCAACATCTGGCAATATATCGGGGTTTATACGGAGATTATTTTTGCAATTGATGCTCGAGGATGAAAAAGTGACAATGTTTCTTCAGTCTCCTTGTCCAGTGAGTAATAACAATCCTGTTTAGCTGTATGTAAATATATCTCATTTCAAATCTTTGTTTGCAGTTTTCTGTTTTTCTAATTTCTAATAATGATGGAAACTTTAAAAACAACAACAGCCTAGTTAATGATCAGATTTGAAAATCACATTAGATCAATCCATCTCCCTAGAGCAGGGATCAGCAAGCTAAGGCTCTTGAGCCATATCTAGGTCTTTTGGTACATACATGTGGCTCTGAAGTAAAATTGAAAAAAATTTTAAGATGTTATTCAGAGAGGTGATTTTATATATATATGGCTTTCAGATAATTTTTAAATTGTTGCGATGGACAGGAATGGCCCTTCATTTCAATAGTTTTCCAACCCCTAGCCTGGAGTAACCTAATTTTATATCACTCAGTATTGTATAATTTGATTTGGACATAAAAGAGAGCCTATCCAAGTCATCTATTGCTAACGTAAAAACTGAACCAACAGAAAAACCACATGATAAATAAACTTGCCACATTTACAGAAATCTATGAACTGCATATTTTATATGCTTTATTAAGCTTTTTATTGTTTTATGTTCTTGAAGTATTTTCCTGTTGATGTTCCTTCCAAAGTGTGACTTCTGGATTTTCTTGCATTACTTTTAAGCTGTACAAAGGCAGAATTAATGCCACTAGCCATGTCATCCAGCATCCACTGTATGGAGCAGGCCACAGGTTCCGGACTCTCCATTTGCCGGTCTCAACAACGTTATCGGAAGTGCTTGACAGAGTGTCAGGCAAGTCAGAATTAAATCTTATCTTCCATTAATTTTGTTAGATGTATATGGAATTTTGTCACTTTTGTAAAATGATGTATTTTACTGATAACATTTATTTAGTCATTAGCAATCATCAAGAAATCTTCTGGTATCTGGTCCTTCGTACCCCATTTCATGTTGGTCAAACTGAGAGTCCATACTAGATAATAGTGAGAAAAGTGTTTCTCAATTATGGATTTTATACCATTTATTGAGTTAATAGATTGAAGAAACATGGCTACCATTTGAATTTCTAATTACAATGGGTAAGTTCTTAATGCGTAAAATCTTTACAGCTTTTCTTACCTCTTTATGGTGGAAGTGAGAGTTGTGTGCTATGAATTAATTTAGTAAATTTTTAATATTTACTTATTTCCCTCTGGCTCATGTTAATATTCTTACCATTTTGAGTTACTTCGATATTTTTATTAGACAAAGAATTCTTTTAAGTGAGAGTAGACTGTATCAACTATATCCACAAAGTGAAAAATGTTTCTATTATCAAAACAGTCCATCGAAATATTTGGATTTAAAAGTGGCTAAATCAGATCATTAAATTTTTACCTCATTTATTTTATTATTTTTTTATTCCTTCATATAAACCAAAGTAATAGGATATGATAATTCTAGAAATGGTTGTCTGTGGAAACTGCTAGTAGTTATTTTTAAAGTAGTTGTAAAATACATTACTTTTATCTAAGATACCTACGTAAACAAAAATATAACAAGTCAGTGTGACTTACATGTGATAATTTTTATATGTTTACTTTCAGTATAAGTAGATGTTTAGTGTAATGTTCAGGAGCCCTGATGGTGTGGTGATAAAGCTTTGGGTTGCTAACTGAGAAATTAGTGGTTCAAAAGCACCAATTGCTTCTCTGAGGAAGAAGACTGGCTTTCTGTTAACATAAAGAGCCAGTCTTGGAGACTCACACGGCAGTCAGTTCTCTCTCTCCCCACAGGGGCACTAAGAGCTGGCATTGATTCAGTGGCAGTGAGTTTTTTAGTGTAATCTTCTAATAGTAGTCCTGTACTTAATTCCCTCTTAGCCGTTTGTACAATGTGCCGGCATCCTGTTTAAGGCTACTTTGTAAATAGAAATTATACTCTTGATATGCACATAAAACCAAAACTCACTGCCATCAAGTTGATCCCAAATCATAGTGACCTGACCGGACAGACCCCTGTTGGTTTCCGAGACAGCGACTCTTTATAGGAGTAGAAAACGCGTCTTTCTCCCACATAGTGCTGGTGGTTTTGTCATGTTCCTTACAATTCAGTGGTTTAAATATATGAAAAAGAGTTGTGCGATCTAATTCATGTTTTTAATGAAGATCTTATTTCACTGTCTCAGACCTATTTTTGTTCCCTCTATCCAGTTGTTTATGACTCAGGGCAACCCAATTAGAACTGCTACGGGGGTTATCAGAATGGTGACCTCTTGGAAGCAGATCTCCAGCCTGTTCTCCTGTGGGTGGGTCCCAACTGCCAGCCTCCCTACTGGTTTTCAAATCCTTAGCTTTTGTGCCCTTTCCAACTCCCCAATAATATTGTAATGTGGAATATTCGTAGTTTGGTACTTTAGATTCCTGACTTAATATGATGATTTTACTAATGTGGAATATCTATAGTTTGTTACTTTAGATTCCTGACTTAATAGGATGATTTTACTAATATTGAGGATTAAATGTTACAAATTGTCTGACTTCTTTGAATTCTGTGCACATTGTCTTTGTTAGTTACTGAAGTGCTTCTCTAAGTGATTTTGCAAAAGCAATGTGTTTTATATAGTATTGTTTTACAGATACTCCAAGTATCACAGCTAAATTAATTAGTGAACAAAAAGATGATAAAGAGAAGAAAAACCATGAAGAAAAAGAGAAAGTTAAGACGGAAAATGGATTCCAGGATAATTATAGTGTTGTTGTTGCCTCTGGTAAGTCTTCTGTGTTTTTTTTGTTCTGTCTCTTTAATAATCTTGGTTTTGATTGACAGCCTGAAATAGAATAATTTATGGAATACTTTACTATGTGATAAATGCAGTAAAGCAAAAAGATGAGTAAAATAATGATAGCTCAATATTAGAACTAAAATATTGTGTCAGCAATTTGTTGCTCTTTGACAATGGAGTTACATAATTTATTTTATATTTGAAACAGTGTATTCCATTTATGCTTAACAGTATAAGGATAATTCATTAAAATTTTGAAAGTATGTTATATGTTGAGACTTTTTTTTGTCTTTATTAGGAAGGTGGATATAGCCTATTTGTTTAAGAAAACCAAAATGGTATTTTTAATTTTGTAATAGGCTTATTATATAAAATAGAAATAATAAAATGAAAATTGAAAAAAAAAGAAAATGTTAGCTGGAGAAGAAAGAAAACATAGCAAGGATAACTGATCCATTTTGGTAGGTTTTTTGGTTGTTGTTAAATATAGTTTAGTTGGTATGAATTTTAAAAAGAAGGGTGAATGCTCTTGTTAGGTGCTGCCAAGTTGATTCTGCCTCATAGACCCCCTGTGTACAACAGAGTGAAGCACTGACCTACTCACAGTTGTTATAGTTGAGCCCATTGGTAGAACCAGTGTGTCTGGTTTGGTGTCTCCTGATAACATGCACTTATCCTAAGTACATTAGATGAAGTCTGACCATCTTTGCTTTTAAGGAGCTCTCTTTATTTAATAAATAGCTTTATTCCTTAGTTCTGTAACCAATAGACTGATTTTTCTCAGAGAAAATCTCCTACACTTAACTCATAGAAAATGATAATCTAGTAAATTGACGGTAAGCTATCAGAACAGCCACCGATATTTTTTCATTTCCCTGAAAAATGGCTACAAGTGTCAAGTCAAAATTACTTGTCAAATGAAGGATACATAGAATCGGACATTTGATACTGAATAGAAAGAAGCATTTCTAGCTCTTGGCACTAGGGATATCATACATTATATTTAAATAATTTAGGTACATAAATTTCTTACTTCACATTAGTGTGTTGACTACATGTAATCCTGTTGGTTCTTCTCCCTTAGGACTGAAATCCCAGTCTAAGCGTGCTGTGTCAGCCACGCCACCTCGCCCACCATCAAGGAGAGGGAGGACAGTGCCTGATAAAATAGGAAGTGCTTCCTCGGGAGCAGAGAGTGCTAGTAAAATGATTACTGTCCCCGTGTTTCACCTGTTCCACAAACTCTTAGCAGGTAATAGAGGGAAAATTATCCATGAAATTATGATCATTTGTAATTATGTGAGTCAGAACCAATCAGTTTGAATCAGATCAATAAATGGTTGATAAAAGTACAAATCTTTTGCTTAACAGAAAAGGGCCTTTGAGCTCTCTGGGATTCCTATTATTTCCTGATTCCATGCTGTTCTTCCTATTGAATATTGTTTTCCACTCTCATTTTTCCCCTAGTACATTTAAACTTCTTGTATAAAAGAGGCTATGAGATTGCATTCTGAAAGTATTAAAAAAATTATGCTAAAAGTATTAGTAAATGAAGTTAGATATTCCTGAGGATATTTTCAGTGTAAAGAAAGATATATTAAGCAGACATTTCATTGTTTAGATTAGTGAGGCTTGCTCCACTGCAATTCCCACTAAAGACACATGAAAACTGAAAAGGGAGATCTGTTTCTTCTTATATTTGCTTCCTAAATTTTACTGCCAATATGCCATCATAATCTCCAAAAGTTGTGTTTAGTGATTCCTTTGAAAGTCATACAGAAAGCAGTTTGGCAGGTATTTTTTCAGCAGAAGTATTAGATCCACTTCACCAGAAGCTGAGCCGTATATTTACCCTTCCTGCAGTACTTTCTTGGACTAGTATATTTTCCATTCATTCCTTTTATCACCATTTTTGTGATGGATTGTTACAATCAGATTGCTATCTAATATTGAGTGGATTTCCTCGTTTACTTTTATATAGTCTATTTATAATAAATGCCGGCATACTATGACCATGAATCTTTATTTTGTAAATAAGAGTTTCCTGGGATACAACCTTGTCTATTCATTTACAAATCATCTTTTGTTACAGTCGTAGTTAGTAGTTGCCCCAGAGATAATATAGATGGCATAGCATAAAATATAGTACTCTCTAGCCCTTTACAAAAAGTTTTCTAACCCCAGATAAATAATAGGAATGTGTTTCTTGGTTGTCTTTTTTCTCTCATTGCTCAGAAGATCTTGGGATTTTTTTCTTTTCTTTTTTAACATTTTATTAGGGGCTCATACAACTGTTATCCCAATCCATACACACATCAATTGTGTAAAGCGCATTTGTACATC